AGCCATGTTTGCTAAAGTGCCCAGGGGCTGGGCATGTGGAGTGGCCTCACTCATGGCACCTGGTTGATTTAGTTTGGGGTCAATTTTGTGAGTGTTTGGGGTCCTTTCAGAGAGGGTGTGAGGCTGGGCAGGAGCTGGTGCTGGCCTCACTGGGAGTGGCCCCTGCACAATACAGGGGCTGTGTTGTATTTTGGCTGCCTTCAGTGACACCTGGAAATCTTGGGTTGCCTTGTTTTTTTCACTGGGAACACTGGAGGGGAGAACTGGACTGAACATGTGGTGATCCCAGGACATTTCTTGGAAATTGCTTTTTAAAATAGACCCCTGACATGAGCTTGTTTTCATTTGCCTCTTTACTCAAGAAGCTGAGTTCAAAAATAAACCTCAGTTATTTTGGCATCTCATTAATCAAGGTGATGCTGTATAATACTGGAAAAGGAAAAACTTTGTTAGCCATTTCCTCCAGGTATTTGCGTTTAACAGGTCTCAGAAGGCTTCTGAGAGCCTTGGTTCTTTACAGTAAAATAGGAAGTCTTTCCTACATTACCAGGGCATGTTTATCTCTGACAGCCTGTTGTTCTCAGGACCATAAATGTGCTGTGTCTTTGGGTTTCTTTGGAACTGGATTCTCTGTATGCAGTTGCCCTCAGGGATCACTACTGACCAGCCTGACTGAAGACTTCAGGGCTGGAAGCAGCCATGCACAGAGTGCCAGGCAGTGCTGGCACCAGCATGAGCTGCTCCCCGGGCTCCCCGGAAGATGGCTAGAGTATGGCACAGAAGGATGGCCTTTGTTCATTCACAGCACACTTCATCCAGGCCCCAGGGCAGGTCTGCAAGCCTCCTCATCAAGCCCTGATTCTCCTGTCTTCATGAGTATAAAAATATTCCTGTTGGGGACTCACCCTTCTTATACAAACAAACCAACGAAGCCCCAGCAACTCTGCGTTTGTTTTAGTTGGCATCTTCACCCAAGAGTGCTGGCCACCCACCCAGGCCTCTCCTCAGAGAGCCTGAAAGTGCTGCAACAGCCAGAATGCTTCCTGGTTGTCAGACACAGGGGCAGGCGCTAGGTGGGGGCTTTCAGGGGTTGAGGTGCAAGGTTCCAGGATCCTGGTACCTTCTTTCCTCCTCTCTTTTCCTAAGAAAGCTCACAGGACCAAAGGAGAGCACAGAGAGTTCACAGGAGAGCAGAGATGTCTGAATTTCAACTCCAAGGTTTGGGCATGTTACCAAACTGCCTGTGTCTTAGCTTCTGCAGCCACAGTGTGGGTATGTTGCATCTGCCTCTCACGGATATACTGGTACTTAGGAGGGATGCATAAGAGGTGGTTTATTTGTGAGGGAAGGCTTGCCTATCCTTCTCCAACACATCTGGGCACAGCAGCCAGTCGCGCTCTCTGAGGCCCTGCTCCCCTGCCCACTGGGTCTGGACAGTGGCTACTCTTAGCACCACATGTAGAACTTCTAAATGTGGGTGTGTCCCTGGAATGTTCTAACATCCCTTTTGAACTTGGTGGGATCTAAATTTGGACTCTCAGCTTTACCATTAGCTGTTTGACTAAGCTGTTGCATGTTTATTTTTCTTTAAGCCCTTTGGAGAGTTCTCGTCAAGGAAAGGTCTGAATCAGATGTCCTTTGGGGCAGTATTAACAGGCCAGCATCTCTCCCTCCTGAAGCGGGTAGGGCAGAGCTTGCACGTACTTTCCTGTCCCATCAGGCTCACACCACGGGCAGGAGTCTGATGATGACTTGGAGCTTTGGGGAGGAAAAGAGGGACATGAATAAGATGCCAGAAGAGGGACGTCAGGGCTGCCCAAAGAGGGATTTACCTCTTGAATGGGGGTGGGAGTGGGGGGGGTGCACTGCAGCTCAGCCTATCCTCAGAATGTGACTCTGATGCAAAGGTTTCAGCTGCTTTAAAAGCCACAGGTTATCTCTCCTAGCCTCATTTCACCACTAACAGTTACACAGATAATATGTCATGACCCTAAAATATTTTTAGCTCCATTCAAGCTCCTCTGACTTGACCTACTGAGATGTTTGAGGGTCTCAGAAGAGAAGCCATTGTCCAGATACAGGAACTGTCCTCATGAACTTTGGACTTTTGACAGATAAAAAGACAAAAAAGAAGTAAGTTGACTTTGCATATTTTTTTAATTTAAAAAAAAAGGTTTCTTTGTCAGAAATGATTATCTTCAGGTCAGTCTAACTCTCACAGTGTTTAGCTGTGCTGGGTCTCGGGCCCAAAGAGTGTAGAAAGCCCTGTTTCTGTGCACTGTTATGTTACTCCCTCCCTCTTGCTGTAGCCATCTCCCATGGTGACTGTCCCAAATTACTCTTCACCTCCACTATGCCTAGGACCTGGGGCTAACATTTGAGCAGAGGAAGGAAACTTTGATCTCTGTTCCTAAAGGTTTTATTTTTAAAATGTTCCTCACAGCTGCTATCTTAAAATATTTCCCTCCCATGTTTAACTGTTAAAGGCTGTGGATAAAAATTCTCTTTTTAGTGGTTTTCTCCTTCTCACTTCAAAATGCTTGTGAGGGCAGTCATCACAATTGGAAGCCGAAGGCCATGGGCACAGAGAGACAGCGCTAAGGGTTTGGCAATAACCCCCATGGCATGTGCAAAACCTTAATGAGCAACTACTCTCAGGCTGAGCCAGCCTGTTCTGGTTGTGTCACCTCTGTTTAATTTTACAGCTTCCAATGATTAACCTTCCACAGAGGACAGAAAGAAATTGGAAAACAGGCAAGTTTATGTAAGAGATGTGATCACCAAATCCAAATAGCAAACCCTGGGGCAGATTTTACATAAATGGCTACAAGAGTATTTTCCTATCTCACACACCCTTCTAGAAGTTTGCCATATTGCCATTTCAAGATGGAATCTGTGTCCCCCAGCACCCTTGTGAACTTAGATGACCCCTTGTGATTGCCTCAATAGAGTGTAGCAGAAATGCTCTACTTGTGGCCTCCAAGGCCAAGTTATAAAAAGAAAGACAGCTTCTATTCCACCTTCTGGGAATGCTCACCCGGGAATGGCAGCCACCATATTGCAAGGAACCCCAGGCCCCACAGATGAGCTCATGTGGGCAGGAACCAAGGCCTGAGGCCCTGGCTGGACTCCTAGCCAGCTTCCACCCTGCAGCTAGAAAAGCCATCACAGAGGCAAACTTTCTCTTCTTCATTCCATCACAGTAGCCTCCCAGGTCACAGAGTTGACCCTTTGAAGCAACACAAAAGAGAATGGGGGACTAAACATGTACAATACTATTTCTGAACTGCATCTTTGTTTCTTTGAATTCAGTAAGGTCCAAGCCTAGTGGTTCATGCCTGTAACCTAACTCTTTGGGAGACTAAGGTGGGAGGATCACTTGTGTCCAAGAGTTCAAGGTTGCTGTAAGCTGTAACCATACCATAGCACTGTAGCCTAAGTGACAGAGCAAGACCCTGGCTCTAAAAAATAATCTTTTTAAAATTCAGTATGTGGCTCAGGTGGCTAAGGCGCCAGCCACATACACCCAAGGTGGCAGGTTCGAATCCAGCCCGGGCCCGCCAAACAACAATGACGGCTGCAACCAAAAAATAGCTGAACATTGTGGCGGGCGCCTGTGGTCCCAGCTACTTGGGAGGCTGAGGCAGGAGACTCGCTTGAGCCCAGGAGTTGGAGGTTGCTGTGAGCTGTGATGCCACAGCACTCTACCCAGGGGGACAGCTTGAGGCTCTGTCTCAAAAAAAAAAAAAAAAATTCAGTATGTACTCATCCCTTTGCATTTTCTAAAAGTAGGACTCTTTTATATTTTTATATTTTGTATAGTTTTACGTAGAAGGTCCCCAAAAAGTATTTAAGCTACCTACAAAATTTACAGACTTCCCAGTTCTTGCCTCTTCCCATCCTCATCACACTGAAGGGATTCTGCTATCTGAGCTGGAAGTTTCTTTCCCTGAGACACTTGCATGGCAGGACATTAGTGTCAACAGAGACATTTGATGATGTCAATAAAGAGGTCAATTCACCATGAAACATATCAAATGTGTATGGCATAAAAGAGCTTTGAAACAATGAGGGAAAATGTGTCAAAATTAAAGGAAGACATAGATGGAAGGAAGACCACAGCCATGGTTGGATGTCTTAACACCCCTCTAACCAATTGATAAAACTAGACCAAAAAACGCCAGTAAAGATCCAGATGATTTGAACAGCACTGTCCCCAGCTTAACCTGATTGACACTGACAGCACAGATGCCTTTGTTAGGAAACTGTTCCAAGAACACCCTTGGGGTTGGTTTTTGCTCTTGCAGGTCACAGCAGGCAGCAGCCTGGGAGTAGGTGGCCTCTGTCACACATACACTATTACACTTCAAGGAGACAGCCACCTTTGCTGCAGCATTTGTAAGAAGGAGGGCAAAGCACAGTGGGCACATTCTCCAGAGCTTTCACAGAGACGCTCATGGATCAGAATGCCGTAGGTGTCACAGAAAGTGGCTCTGTATGTGTGTGGTTGATACTTTAGAAACAAATAAAATCCTGTCACTTCCCCTTTGAGTGGACACCAACCAGTACCAGCCTTGGAAACTAGGTGTGCAATGGCACTTCCCCCTAGTCACCCCTATCTGAGCACCTAGGACAGCCTCTCCAGTCCTGGCTATAAATAAGCAAAAAGATAGCAGGCCCATCCCTCCCCAACCTGGAAGGAGACAACAAGCACACAGTTTCCTTCTGCCTCATCAAGGAAGAAGCCTCTGCCCACCCATAGCCAAGTCCATTTTGCTCAATGAAAGGCAAAGAGGGCAGGGCACAGGCCCCGGGGCTGCTGGCGAGGACACAGGTTAAAGAGTCTTCTGAAGACAGACCTTCTGCAGCTCCTAAAGAGGACCTTTCCTTTTAATCCCTGCTGTATCCACAGCACCCTTGGTCACTGAACAGTGATGGCCAGTGTCCTAGGGAAAAAGGACGCTGCCACTGGCTTTTCTGGAAGGGAGGTCCATGCTGTGCTAGTCCTCCTCTCCCTCCTGGCAACAGGGTGAAGACTCCGCCCTGGAAAGCTTGGGTGCACTCAACCTCCTCCTCAGGGAGGAGAACGTGCCCCCAAGCACCCTGCGCAACCCCACACTGTCTCGGCCATGGGACAGGTCCTGCCTGGTGACTGGGAGCCGCCCTGTGAACATCTCCCACCGATCAAGGGCATCCACAGCTTGATCCACCTGTGCCAGCTCCTCCTCGGCCCCTTCCCTCTCCAAGGCCTGGATGCACATGGCCAGCCACCCTTCATGCTCTTTGATGGCCTCCACAGGGCCCCCAAGCAGCAGGGGAGCCTCCGAAGCTCCTAGGGAGCCCAGCCCATCCTCAGGCTCCAGCTCTGGCCCCAAGGAGCAAGGGTGGCTCCAGGCATCAGGCGTGAGGGGCTCTGACAGGCTGCTAATGGGCTCCGAGTCACTCTCACAGCACAAGCCTGAGTCAGCACTGGTGGGCAGGGTATCCTCCAATACAGACGGTTCCCCTGCCTCCTGGCTGGGCCATGTCTCTGCCACCACCCGAGTCCAGGCATGGAGTCTCTAAAAGAGAGAAACACAGGTTGAGTTCTCTCTGCACAGGCAACTGTCAACCCAGCTTCAAGGAAACCCAGCTCCTTTCCAAAGGGGGCCCATATTGTCAGTTACCCAGGGGCAAATGTCAAGTGGGTGATGTGAGGGCCCTTCCAGCCAGCAGTCTCTGGGACGGGAATCTAGGCTGTGCTGGAGCCAAGTGCACCAGTACACAAGAGCCCCCTATTTGCCTTTTAGGGACTTCGAAAGCTAGTTTTAACTGATGCAAAAATAAATTGTGAAAAGCTCATAATTAGTCATAATTAAAAATTTTTTAAGCAAAGTGAATACTCAGAACTCCTTACTTCCGTTTTCTATACTTTTCTCTGCATCTATGCAGTGGACATGCTACAGAACCATGGCCACCACACACCTCTTGCCTCCTTGGCTCTTAGTACTGTGTTAGTGGCTTGAGATCAGCTACATTTACACCAGGGAAGTGGGCAGGTGCTGTAGATCAGGACTTTCTCTGACAGGACACCTCACCAACTGCTGCAAATGGCAGCCAGGCCCTCAGTCAGCTCTCCAGCACCTGCCAGAGTAGTCAGGGTGGCCAGACAACCAGGGACAGCAGGTGATCCCACATCTGCCCCTCCTATAATAGCCAGGAAGGCCCAGGGTACTCTTGGGTCTCCAGAGCCTTCCCCCCAGATGGCTGGGCCACCCTGGAGTGCCTGTGTCTCTGCTCTCTTCCCCAAAGAACCCTCCACAGTCACGTGAGTTGACATGCTGAAAGTGGGAACCCTGGCCTCCCACTTAGATTCAGGACTGATCCAGGGACCAGTTACCAGGTTAGGAGTCATGGGGAAGGGAGGATTCCTGGTTGGGGTGTGCAAGGGGACATATAAAAGTTACATCAGCTCATGTCAGATAGTTGAACAAGATCCCAAGTGAAGGAGAGAAAGTGAGAAATCTCAACCCTTTTTGCAGACTGAGCTTTCTATATGGCTTCATGCTAATACTAAGAGCTGCCCTTGACTGAGCATGGAAGAAAGGGCAGCTAGCCTTTGCAGGTGGAAAGACTCTACTACCCCATCCTGCAGAAGATCCACTGAGACAGGATCCACACCACAGCCAGGTCACCTCTGGGCCTCCCAACTGGGGGAGGGGGAATGTGCATCTCCTCAAGCACCCTTGAAGCTCTGTGATCTGCGGGTGCCCCTGTCTCTACTTCAAGGGTACTCAATGGGGTCCACAGACCTGCAGCCTGTGCCAAATTTAGAGGCAGGAATGACAGGAGCAGGGCCCAGCCCTCCAGGGCATCCAGCCAGCCCAGCCTAGGAACTACTCCCTGTCTGGCCTGAACACCTGGACCCAAGTGCCTGGACTCATCCCCTGAAACCGCCCCTTTGCAGTCCAGCTGTCCAGCCTCAAAGAGAAGGAGCAGGGGCTGCCCAAAACCGCATGTGATGAGGTTCCTTTAAACTTTCAGTTTTAAAATGAAGCTAAAGCTATGTCATTGTTAGCTCTTGAACCTTCATTCAAAAACTTATAACTTGTTTTCATCCAAAGATGAGTTTAAAGAAAAATACCATTGGCCTTTGCACTCTGAACTCGGAGTACAGTTTCTTGATTTTGAAACAATCTTTGGTCAGGGATAAGGATGAGCCCCTGCCCTAGGGCCTCCAGCAGGCAGAGGGAGGGGAACGCCGCACTGTCCCTCCACCAGGTGGTCTCCAGGTGGCGCTCGCGGAACTTCTCGCAGCCCTCCGCGCATGTCGGGCAGCCCCACGGGCCACGTACTCACCTTATACCGCTGGAGGAGCCTGAAGCCCAGGACGTGCTGCAGCTTTCGCAGGCAGATGGGGCAGAGGTCCAAGGGCCGCCGCAGGGCCTCATCCAGGCTGAGCACTCCCTGCATGAGGCAGCGGAGCCAGCGGCAGTTCCCCAAGCCGAGAAGATGGCAGAGCTCGTGGCATGTGACCTAGGGGAGGTCACCATGGCCCTTGCCTTGCAGCCCAAGCCCTGGGCAACCTCAGAAGCCCGTCCAGGAGCTTGGTGCCCTGGGGAAGGCCAGAGTGCCAGGAAGCGCCCAAGCATCCCCCATCCCCGCCTTGGGCTGCACAGGGTGCCGATGGCAGCTCTAGCTCAGCTGGGCCCAAAGCCTACTTGGGGCCACAGGGAGAAAAGTGAGCTGGTGTGGTGGGCTCTGGGGAAGCTGCACAGCAGGGAGCTTGGGGGCCACACAGACTTGGATTCTAATCTTAGCTCTGCTACTTCATAGCTGTGTGACTGTGGGCAAAACATATGGCATCTCTGAGCCCTGGTTCCTCACTCCATCAAGTTAGGGTACCATCCCCTTCATAGCAAGGACTGGACAATGAACTGCCCAACCCAGCATCTGCTCATGTCCTTCAATTGCACTTTCTCAGTTTACCCCATCCTCTCCCTGTACCATGGGGGGGTTTTTGTTTAGTTTTGTTTTTGAGACAGAGTTTCACTTTGTGACCTGGGTAGAGTGCCATGGCATCATAGTTCACAGCAACCTCAAACTCTTGGGCTGAAGAGATCCTCTTGTCTCAGCTTTTTATTTTTAGTAGAGACAGGGTTTCACTCTTCTGGTCTCGAATTCATGAGCTTAAGCAATCCACCCACCTCAGCCTTCCAGAGTGCTAGGATTACAGGCATGAACCCCTGTGCCCAGCCTACCATACCATGTTCTTGGTCCCCTGGGCAGCACCCTCAGCCCCCAGCCACAGTGCCTACCTTGCAGCACTGGACCATCCCCAGGGCAGTGAAGTCCAAGGCCCAGCCTCCATCCTGCAGGGGGGTCTCAGGACCATCTGTTGCTGCCTCCATCATGGTCCGGTTAGGGGTGCTAGGCCCTGACTTCAGGAATCCCCCTGAGAACCGAGCAAAGCTGCAGACACCCACTTCTGAGGAGAAGTGAAAAAAAAGTGTTTCAGGGGCAGCTTGGGTCTGGGGAACCCACTGTCAAATCTGCCTCCTCTCCTGCCACCCAGACACAGTCTGAGGAGCACAGGCCTGGGAGGCCCTGCTGTGCCCCCCCCAGTGTCCATGTGGCCCCAGCTGTTCAGGAGCAACTGAACACACTCATGAATGACCTTCCCCCAGAAGGGCACCCTGCTGTGTGAGGGCTACAGAGACTGAGGAGCCACACCAGGCTTCCTTCCCAAGGAGAAGGTTGTGGGGGCCCCAGCTCACCATGCCCTGGAAGGAACTTGCTGAAGGTAAAGCTCCATGTCTCTTGGGGGTACAGGTCAGACAGCGTAAGGCCCAGCACACACAGTGCATCACCTGGCTTGTTGTTCTTCAAGAAGGACAGGATGCCGTCTGAGGGGAAAGGACCAGGGGACAGTCAGGAGGCAGTTGGGGACCTGTGACTTCTAGTCCTGGCCCTCAGCAAGCACACTCTGTCATCCTCCTCCTGCATAGGGACCAGCCCCTTCCCAAAGTCAGAAAGGGTCAGTGAGGTTTGGTCTGAAGCCAAGACCTCAGGACTGTGTGAGAGCCGTGGCCAGGGCCTCAGAGTCAGACCAGCCTGGGCTGCTAGGGTGGGTTACTCCACAGGGTCTCCACTTCCCAAACCATCATCAGGGCAGGTCTGAGATGCCCATCGACAGCCAAGTGGGGATGATGAAGGGACAGCTGAGCAATGAGTAGTGCTGAGGAGGGATAGGCTGCCACCATTCTGAGCAATGGCTCCAGAGATGCCCCCTAAGACCTGTGAGCCCGGGATGCATGTGGCAAAAGGGATAGCATTGTGACTAAAAATTTTGAGATGAGAGGTTATTCTGGATCATCCAGGTAAGCCCAATACAAATCATGTACCCTCTCAAGAGAGAGGCAGGTGTCTTGGGTCAGGGTGAGACATTTGAAGGTGTTGCCCCAACTGTAAACATGAGGAGGGCTGTGAACCCTGGGAGATGGGAGCCTCTAGGAAGGAGAAAGGCAAGGAAACAGATTCTCCCCAGAGCCTCCAGAAGGAGCCAGGCCTGCCAACACCAAGACTTTAGGCTGGGAAAATTTCTGACCCTTACAACTGGGCTCATGAGTGGTTGTCTACAGCACCAGCTTGTGGTAATTTGTTAGAGCAGCAGCAGGGGAGGGACCAATACCACTGTCAGGAGTGTCAGTGTGGACAAAGTCAGAAAGAGGCCCAGTAGCTGACCTGCACAGGATGATGGCAGGGAAGTGAGGAGCCTGGGGGTGGGGGGGAGGTAGCTGAGTGGCTGCGGAGGCCTGAGGAAGACAGAGAGGGAGTTTTGGAGCAACAGCAGAGAGAGGGCCTATGAGGCAGAGCCTGCCAGCAAAGAAGAGCATTTTCCAAGAGATTTTGCTATAAAAAGGAACAGATAGATAGAATGAGAATTGAGGGCACATGGGGCAAAGAAGTTTTTAAGATGAGGGAATACCAGGACAGGAGAGGGAAGGGCATAGGAACAGGGTCTGTGAGCAGGTGGGGTGGCCTCGACAAGGAGCCAGGGTCTGACACTAAAAGACAAGGGAAAGCCAAGTGGGAGCCCAGGTGAGGGCAGGTGGAAGGAAGGTGTAGAACCTCTCCTTTGGTTGGTTGTTTTTCCTCAGCAAAAAGAATCAGAAAAGAAGAAACAGGAGAAAGTAGAGGAGAGAAAGCAGGAAGGCCAGGGTCTGCCAGGCACACTGAGGCCCCTCTGGCTTGTGACCATGCATCTGAGAAGAGACCCCTCTGGCATGTTCAGCCACATGGCAGATGGCGTTGTGTGTCACCAGTGTGGGCCTGAGAAGGGGAGGAGGTGTGCCAGGGTAATGGCACACCTCCTGGTTCCTCCAGGATAATGAGGAACCATGAAATCACAGCCCAGGGAGATGGCAAGTGAGACCATTGGTAGGGAAGTGGCTTCCAGACAGTCAGACTGCCATCAGAGTCTATGCGGGGGAGACTGGGCTACAGATGCTGGAGGGGCCTTAGGGTGAGGGGTTCACTAACAAAATCTGATCCCCGAGCCACTGCCGTCGTCTGTCAGTTATAACAAAGTGCAGTGCATCACTGGCCCACAGAAACACAGAACTCAAAACTTTAAATTTCCCTAATTTTAAAATAAGAAGAAATAAGTTGCATTGATTTTAATAAATCTGATTTAACCTAATATATCTAAAATACTATCTTAACATATAACCACCATTTTAAAGTTATGAGTTCCTTACAATGTTCTTTATGTTAAGTTTCAAATCTGGTAAATATTTTACATTTCAAATCAGCCACATTTTACATATTCAAAAGGCGAGCCAGTGGTTACTATCTTGGACAGCACAGATCTGGGGCACGACTTTGGGAAAGAGTGGCTGAGGTATAAAAGGAGAGACCAAGGAATTTTTCCTATGAAGATGATAATGATGGTAATGATGACAGTTATGGATGAAATTATGTCCCCCCAAAAGATAGGTTGAATTCCTAACCCCTGGTACCTGTAGTAGTGACCTTTTTAGGAATAGGGTTTTTCCAAACATAGTCAAGTTAAGATGAGGCCACAAGGTGAGCCCTCATCCAATGACAGTGTCTTATAAGAAGAGCAGAGACACACACAGGGGAAGGGCCCATGAAGACAAAGGCAGAGGTTGGGGTAACACATCTGCAAGCCAGGGAAGGCCAAAACCCCAGGGACCAGAAGAGGAAGAAGGTACTGCCCCTAGGGCCTCCAGAGAGACCTTCAGACCTCTGGTCTCTGGAACTGCCAGACAAGAAAGGTCGTTGTGTAAGCCACTCAGTTGGTGGTACTCTGTTACAGCAGACCCAGGAAACTAATACAGTGATCCAAACCAAGCTAACCTGATGACAGGAATGCAGCCAGCATAACCTCTGGGTTCTATCTGCTTCCTCAACCTTCCTCAGGCCAGTTTCTATCCCAGCAGTGGTTTTTCTGAGAACCTCCCCATACTCCACACATCTTCTCAAGTGCAGGGCTTAGCAGTTTGTCGCAGCAGAGGTGGAAAACCCAGGAGAAACCCCTGTGGGACTCAGTGCTGAGGTATCTCTGAAGTACCAAAGTCCTCAGCATGGAGCAGACAGAGGCTTGATGTCCCCACATCTCTCAGGAACACCTGCCAGAAAGCAATGATACTAGCTATGACAGTACCTTCTCCTGCAGGGCAGGGGCAAGGGAAGTGATGGCAGTAGGACCTCTCTCTGTGTGGCAGGGAGTTCCAGGCTGGGTCATGGAAGTGGGCAAAGCCTGGAGGGTATCAGCTGTGCCCCAGTGAGCTGGCTGGTTCTCTGAGTGACCAAACCTGAAGACTGGGACATAGAAAAGGAATGTGCCACCATGGGATGACAGTCAACTCCAGCAGGAATGGGGGCACTGTCAATGCCCCTGGAAAGGAAATACCAGCTGCTCCTCGTAAACCAACCCCCCACTTGCCTGCTAGGGAATTTAGAACAACCCTCCATGAAGCGATAGAAGAAAAAGCTGGGTGAGGTACAAAGAACAGCTTTTAAAAACACCTAAGACAGGAAGAAGCTGACTACAGAGGCCCCTGAGGAAATCTTGGTGGGTAGGGGTGGTGAGCTGTTCTGTATATGACTGTGGCAGTGATTATGTGGCCTATGCATTTGTCAAGACCCAAGAACTATCCACTAAAAAGGAAGAATCTTACTATCTAAATTATACTCCAATAAACATGACTAAGTAAATCAGAGACCTAATGAGATTAGAGCTCAAAGAGATTAAGCTATGCTGTTTCTGAGATGGGGGAGTGGGCAGGGTGACCCTAAAGACATGTCCCCTACTGTGGCTGCCTCCACAAAGTGCCATACCCAGGAAAGGGTGTGAACTGTACTCCTGAGGGTCATCAGAATGGCATGAAAGTTTCATGTCTTTTTCCCAACTGACTATCTGGGTCAGGGAAAAGTGCCTGGCAGAGGGAAAAGAAAACTATCATTCCAAGCCAAAAGTTCTTCTAGGAGTTAAACTAGTTTTCAAATAGGATGTCTAGCTAAAATATTAATGATAAGGCACACAATAAGCCAGGATAACTGAGAAAAAAATTAGCAGGGATAACAAATTATAGCCACATGAGCGCTCCAAATACAGGAATCATCAGACACAAACTTTTAAGCAACTATGTTCATGAACATAAATACTGAACTTAAAAAAACTTAACAAGAAACTAGGAACTAAGTAAAAGTGACACTGCTAATTTGAAAGAGAATCCACTAGGAACTATAGGACTGAAAAATATGCCAACTGAAATAGGAAATCAATATATGGGCTTAAGAGCACTATAGGAACAGCCACAGAGAGAGTAGAGGATGACAATAGACTTGAGACTCAAGCACAAATGCTCAAAAAAGAAATACAAGGGAAAAGATACAGAAATGAAAGAAAGATGGATTAATATACATCTAATGGGAATCCCAGGAGAAGAGAAATAGAATGAGGTAGAGGTGATATGTGAAAGAAAGAAGCAATAGCTGACAGTTTCCTAGAACTGATGAAAAATGTCCATCTACTCACTCCCTAACCAATGGCAGACAAACAAAGATAGAGCCTCGGCCCCTACTTGGGGATCTCCATAAACTTGAGCCTGGGTCGCCTATCTATATGAGAACCTTCAATTCATCTATGCCTTTCAACCTAGCCATACTCTCTCTACCTGCCAGTAACCCACAGAGAAGGGGCAGGAGCTTGGGGAAGAAGGGGTTTTCTAGACACATATAAATTGGTTTACAAGGACAAAAGGCTGGAGAGAGGCTGAGTAGTCATAAAAGGGCTTGCTTCACGTGTCAGAATGCTCTGGAGTTTTCCAATGGATGCTGGACTGTATGAATAAGTCTCCAGATACCCTCTGGATGGGAAAGGAACTTATTGTTCCAGTCCTCTTTTCCAAGGAGGTTGGGAAATAGATGCTTCCCACCAAAAAGGAAAAAAATAACAAAGGTTTCTTTCCTCCCCAGGCTCTGGAAAGGGCCTTTTGCTGAATGGTGGGGGCCTGGCCTCCCTTGGCCTGAGCTGTGCCCATCCTCACTCACCTGTGTGGAGCTGGAGCCTGTCAGAGTCCCCAGTGGGGCGGGAGGAGCAGTGGATGGAGGCGGCTGCCACAGAGGGCAGGCACTTGACCCGCAGGCCCGGGAAGAAGGCCTCTGTGCAGCTGCGCAGGCTGTCCAGCAGGAGGCCTCCCATCGGCCCCTCATTCAGATCTGGGGAACAGAGCAGTACCGTCAGCCCCACTGAGCCCCATACCCTCAGGTCCACTCCCCAGGAAGTTAAAACAGGTCAAAAAAGGAGGAATATAGAGGTAAGAGCGATGACCAGAGGAAAGGCAGTAATCACAATTGCATGTGAGCTCAGGGAGGGCACAGTAGGGGAGGGCCCATCAAGGGTCAGGGACTTCAGACCAGGTGAGGGCAGCTGGGGTAGCAAACAAGTCAGGGGCTGGTTAATGGCTGCAGAAAGCCAGCCCGTCTGAAGCAGAGAGGGAACGTGGGGTGCAGGGTGCAGCTAGAGTAGCTTCTCAGAGCAGGGAGGAACCATGGACATACCAGATGGGCACAGACCAAGGGTGGATGCCAGGAGACCAGTGAGAAAGTAGTCACAGGGTCCCCAGGCCAAGAGTTTTGGCCTCACCAGAAACTGCTTAGAAACACAGAGCCAGGCCCCGCTACACTCCTGAGCTGTGCCCTATTCTGCACACACAAACCTGTGTTTAAGCAAGATGCTGTGCATCTGCACAGCTCTGAAATGAAGAAGATGGTTCCATGGCCATTTAGGAGGCAGAATCTATAGGCAAATCTGTTGGCTTCAGGGTGATGGATAGTGAGACCACTGGACATCTTCAGGACTCTTGTCCCAGGGAAAGAAAGAAAGCTACATGGACCACGGGACTGGTAACAAGGTGAAATTCTGCCTTCCCCTGGATGCTGTCAAGGTGCCAGCCCAAGGGGAATGGCATGGCACACTGGCCTCACAGAAGTCTAATGCCAGCCCTTTCCTCCACTCCAGAGCCACATGCCACGCCTGTGTGCTCTTTCTACTGGGCCACTGCCACCCTGCCTTTAGCATGCTGAAAAGCAGTGGCTTGCCTGGCCTGCCCACTCCTTGTACCTGGCCGAGCCCATCCCTTGTGGGACCTGTTGCCTCAGCCCTCAGTCCATCCTGAGTCACCCAATCTCTGCCAGACACAGAGCTCTGGAGGACAGCAACAGTGACCACACTAGGGCCCAGCCCAGCATCTCCCAACATAACCTCAGGGTCACAGAGTCTTGCGTTCCATCCTGTCTCTACTGGTTACTTCCTCTCTTGGCCTCAGTGGCCTTGCCTGCGAAATGGGCTGATCCTAATCTCAGCACCCCAAAAAGGAAGTGATCTCAAGCACTCAGCACAGAGCCTGGCACAGCACTAGCTTAACAGATGTGGCCAAGGGCATGCACATCTGGACAAGGCAGCATCTGCATGTGGAACAGCCCACAGCTCTGGCCCTTCTGAACCTTATCAGGCCTCCTGCCTCTACCCCTGAGTCCCTGAGACCCGAACACACCCAGCACCATCTTTCCCCACGTCAGTCCTGCTTGGGGCCCATGCACAGAGCCCCCCTCACACATTTTATGCTTTCTATAGACCTGGTCCTTCTGGGTTGGCTCCCCCATACCTATTGGCTGTAGGTAAATGTGCTTCCGGGCCAGGCTCTGCTTCCTGTGCTGCAGGGAGGCGTGGAAGGTCTGGAAATCCTCAGGGGCCTCAGGGTGGCTCAGGAGCCAGTCAAAGGCCGTGCGGATAAGCAGGGTGCAGAAGAGGGTCCTCTGGGGGTTGTAGGCCTCTGACAAGAAGAGCCTCTCAGCAGGGGAGAAGGCGGAGACATAGAGCTGCTGTAGGGCCGGGTCAGTGGAGACCAGGGCATCCTTTAGGGCCCGGGGACCAAAGCTGAACTCCTGGGCTGGTCTACACTGCAGCATGGTAGGCAGGAAGGGTCTGGCCACTCCTGGAAGCCCCCGCTGCTGCCCATGGACCATCTGAGAGACAGCCAAGATTTCTTCCGAATCTTCCCTTGTGCTGATCAGAGTGGCTGCCTGGGGTGCCCTGCCGAGGGTCGCTGGTCCAAAGGCCTGTGTGGCCCAGCTCTGCCTGGCACTGGACCTCCTCAGCCACAGTGAGGGGAGTCATGGACACCTCCAGGCCCACAAGGACCCTGCATGGGACATACAGAGATGCCCCGTCACTGTTGGGTACACACAGGCCCGTTGTCTCACACAAGAGAGGAAGGTATGGCTTCCTCTGGGACCTTATATGGCCATTGATGGTCAGGCCTGAGGAGCAGCAACACAGGAGGAGTGCCTAAGAGGGTGCCTGGTCTACCTTCAGGACCAGCACTGCCACCAAGGGAGACACAACTCCATTTCTTCCTTCTGGTCCCTAATCCAGAAATGAACATGGGGATGTACTCTCCCCTCAGCAGGGATGTCTCCATGGAACCCTAGAGGGCCACAGTTCTGTGGGAACTCTCATGAGGCCAGGGACCCAGAGGGATTCTCACCCACCATCCACCCAGTCTTGAGCCTCAGAAAGAGGGGACATCTGAGGAGAGACCTACCCCAGCACTGGACTCCTCTAACACCGGAGGGAGCCCTCTCCTTTGTGGTATATATTCTGGTCTCACCTGAGCCCCCCCCATTATCCAGGGACACCAACACTTAGGGCCCCCAGAACCTCCCCGTCACCAGGTCCTCCCCATCACCTGGGTCTCCTGATCACCCGGGACTTCCCATCACCCAGGGATACCCCATCATCTAGCCCCCCTGTCCCCTGAGCAGAGTGGGCTAGGTTCTGGAGTTGCCATTTTCAGGAGGGTGACCCCAGAGTAGGTTCCAAGGAGAAGGTGAGATCTGAAGAAAGACTCAGGGAAAGGGAGGTGGGGAGGGCAGGCCAGAGTGGCCCAGGCAGCAGGAAGGTGAGAGAGGCCCAGGAGACACACTGGCAAGTTCCAGTGTGGTGGGAATGAATGTGGGAGAAAGGGCAGGGGGCACATGGGGCCACATCATGCAGAACTCGGGAGGCCTCCACTCAGAGCAAGGTGGAGAACCGCAGCTGGCCTTCCAGTGGGAGGTGGAGAGGGGGCTGCAAGCAGGGCCCCAGGAAGCCCAGCTGCTCCCCCATCTGGGCCTGGCATCAGGCCCACCAGGTCTCCCCATCACCTGGGACATCCCCATAAACTTAGAGCAATCAGTGGGCTGCAAGTCCCTGGCCACTAGGGACCCCCAGGCTGGGCACAGAGGAGACGCTCAGGAAACCCTTGAATCCTGAACACCCTCAATGCCATGTGGGGCCCTGGCATGAACTTGGCCCTCTGACCTTTAACCCCTGTGCCTTAATTTCCTCCCAGATGAAAAGGGAGTGGCTGCCTGCCTCCCTTGCTGAGAGCATGGCTAGTCCCAGCTGAAGGCGAAGGTGCCCAGCTGACATCTGGGGCACCTGACACCATGCACATCTCACTGCCCTATTTCTGTTTCTGGATGCCAGGCACATGGCCTGCTCCCAGCTCACAAGCACTGTCACCCACCCACCTAGAGCAAGCCCCTTCACCACTCAGTTACCTCCAGATGACTCCCTCAGAGCTGCAGCAGCTGAGAATTATTCTCTCTGTAATTGACAGTGGCCTACAAATTATTTCTCTGGAGCAGTCCAAGAGCCTTCCAGGTGCCCAGGAGAGTCTGTGTCACACAGCTCTCCAGAGGAGGTGAAAATGGGACAGCCACCAATATTCCATTAGTGACTGGCCCTGACCACTCATCATCTGTCCTCACATCTGCCACACTGTAAAACTCCCCAGATCATTTTTTGATCCAACATCTTGGCTGACCTCTATGACATTCCTGAGAGGTAGTGACCAGTAGTCACCTACCTTGTAGATGAGGAGAGTAAGGTTCAGAAAGGGACAGACACCTGCCCAGGGTTGCACTCCCCAGAACCTGGACTCCCAGGGCAGGGGCCCTCACTCCAGTGCTCATTTGCTGACCTGCCCATGTAGGGGCTTTGGGCTAGCACCCCCCCATCTTAGAACCCACAGACCCTGCTCCAGGGCTTCACTGCCAAACCCCCCACCCCAGCAAAGCCTCAGAAGGGGAGAAACGCCTTCTAACCAAAAGTTCACAGGTCCTGCCATGTTTGTCCCAGGGGTGACTAAACCTCAGGCTCATCTCAGTTGTTCAAAGAGGACCAGAGGGTTTGCAGGGGGATTCAGCGAGGACACACCCGGGTCAGCCAAAGTGGCCGAGATGCACTTTCTAAGTTTCCTAAGGAAGCCGCACACGGTTCTTTATGTTTTGATCTTAGGGCCACTGTACATACTTAAAAACTGCTGAGGACCCCAAAGAGCTTTTGTTTACATGGGTTATATCTATCAGTATTTACTATGCCTGAGTTAACAGTGAGAAATGTGTGAGAGAAATGTTTGTGAGACAAAGAGAAGAAAAGGCAGATAGCTCAGTATTGTTGTGAAAACAGTTTTGACCTCAAGGGTTGCCTATAGAAGTCTTAAGGGTCCATAGAACACACTTTGAGAACTGCTGTTTTCTCTCTGAATCCTCCTCCCTGGGGCAGGTGTTTGCACACACTTAGTACATGATAAGCATGAATGTGCTCAGAGCATGGGAATCTAAACCAGAGAAACACCACCAGCAACATGGTGCAGAGTACCAGGGACTAGCCAGCCTGAGATGCCCAGAGCTCAGAGGAAGCAAGGGTTAGAGGGTCAAATAGGACATTTCAGCAAGGCCTGAAAACAGAGCAGCCTGGAGGACACATAAGCAGGCTGCAGGTTGGCCACAAGAGTGCATGAGTCCCTATCCCTCCACACAGGGCCAGCTCTCTGGGGTCTGGGATATGGATGTCTGCCCGGACAGCCTTTCCTTTCAAGAAGCCATGTGTGTGGCCATATTCATCTTCCTGGGTCATTAAGGGAAATCCCCCTCCCTCCCCCCAGCTGCCTCCTGAGTCCTTCCATCCTGCCATGTCCTTTCTGCACAAAACCACATCTCATGTAGAGTCAGGGCTGGTGGTGAGCCAAGGTTGACACATGTCCGTGGTGGTGAGGGGGGTGTGTCCCTGTGGGATGGGGACCACAATTAGTTTGGGTACCAACCTGTCCACCTTGGCAAGGGTGGCAGTGAGTGAAGGTTCTCCAACAGGGAAACCTTCAAATGGGGAATCCTCACTGTCCTCTGGGCCCCACCAGGGCCTGTTCCCCGCACCTGCTAATTATTGCCATGAGAGCAGCTGAAGTGTCAATGCCCACTCATGGCCTGACACTGCCCGCATCATTCAAGCCTCATGAACTTGTGGAGCTGCAGGTGCTGCTGTGGCCCCTATGTTTCAGGTGGGGAAACTGAGTCTTAGGAATGTTAACTGGCATGGCCACAGTTTCACAGCTGGGAGGTGGTGGGGCCTGGTTTCAAAGCCATGCCTTGAGCTGGGTCCCCAACTCTTAGCACACTGAGGAGTTCCACAAGCAGAGACATTCTAAGGGAAACAGAGGGTGGGACATCACCTCTAAGCAATGGCATTTCTACTCTACCACTATTTTTTTAGGGTTCTTGTGGCCCAGCTCTGCCTGGCACTGGACCTCCTCAGCCACAGTGGTGTCCCACCCCCAAGAAGTGTGTCACACTTAGTCTGCCACTATTAACCCACTTATGCCAGAGGTTGAAATTTTTGTATTTTTTGCATGAAATTTATATATGTTACCTATAAAAATTCAAGGAACAAGAATTTGAAGAGAAAAACTATTCCACTGTTACACAGCATCTGAAAAATGGAACACTAGGCAAAACGACTATTACATTGTATATAACGTATAAAATCATGTTTCTTACCTCAGGAGATGGTGACACCTGCTATTCTGTGCAATGTGCAATAGAACACTTCACATGTAAGGCAACATCACATTTTTCACAGTGAAAAGTGATGTTCTTATGACATCAGCGCACTGCATTTGCTTCCCCTGTTTGACTATCACATGATTCACACCATCATAACATGAGTCAATGTTACACTTCTGAGAAGTTCACTCTCTTCAGCCACGTTCTGGAGGATGACCACAGGTCTCCAGATAATGACATAGCACACGTCGATGAAACTCCAGAAAATCCTTTGGCTTCTCATCAGATAGTTTATGCAATTGCCAGGCATTTTGTAAGACCAATTTGAAATAGAACAAAAGAGGGCTTGAATCTCATCTTTCCATGGGTTGATGCCTGACACTTACCAATGTTGTCATCAACTCTGTCTACACCTCTGATGAAATGGTTATACACTTGGATCATGTTTGGCTCCTGAACTTGGATCTTCTTTTTTGGTTTCTCGGAATGACGACTGACAAGACACAGGGGATTGATAGGAGCACCAGATGAGGCCACAAGGACAACACCATTGTCATACCATCTGCAGATAATATTACCTTTGCCATCAATATGGTAATCACATGTGCCTCATTCTTTTGTCTTCAGAGCCACATCTGATTCCAGTGGAGCTTTGTCGATGTGATCCTTTCTCACTGTACCTGTTGTACGCTAAAGTCCCATTGAACTGAGCTTATCAAGAAGTGCATTACTGGTGAAAAAGTTAAATACAAAATGGTACTGCCCAGGGTATGCCTCTGTAAGTGCCTCACCAACACCGAATTCCTCATGTTTAGTATTTGGGTTCTTACCCTGATTTGGCTGAAACCAGCCAATGTAGTGCAGATGTGTTGTGCCACACCAGAGCTTACAGCCCAACCGAATAGGCTTGCCTCTAATAGATTATTCACACCTGTGATGCCCAAAATTCATCAAAGCTGAAATATGTTTCATTCGGAACAAAATTTCACACCTCTCTCATGGGGTGTACTTATAAGCTGTCACAACTTGAAAAACTTGTCCCTTGGGTCCAAATTTGCATTGTCAGTAGCATGCAAATTAGA